CAGAGAGCGTAATTACTGTAAACGCATGCATAGTTATGAGTAACACACGGTTAAAAATGTTGAGCAGTTCCTGGTATTTTCTTAATTTCGTTCGAGATCCCTCACGGATACTGGTACTTTTATAATTTGGTGTAATCTAAGCAAAATGCGTACAAACGTATTACAAGCGCATAGTACTTCCGGAGTTCAGTTGAATTTTTGAATGTGTCACGTCTCTAACCTTTCATTCAGGATTGCATTTGCATGTTGATGCGATAGGCTGTAGTGGCTGGGTGCTAGCGGATGTATTTGGATGCGAAAATGCAATATTAACACCTTGACGACAGCGCGGCAACTATGTATGCCGCCATTTTGCACCTCCATGGACATTGTGGCAACTATGTATGCCACACCCATTACATTTATTTTTTGCGCACATGCTCGATTTCTTCCCAAGTTTTTTGTGTTCATTTTATAGGCCATACATCAACATAACCAAGAACCACGTGGCTTACAGAATGACCAAATATTCTTTAGTTTGGCAGAGGTTTTCCGGACCTTACGAAAATATCTGTTCAGTTCATTCCTCGTTTTCTTTTCATTAACGTAAACATGTTGATAAAAAGGAATAATAGAAGTGAATACAAACCTATTCGTATGGGAATATGTGTTTTTACTGAAACAACCACGTCCAAATTAATTCTTGATCCATTGAAGGGATAGTAAGAAAAAAAAAGAAAGGGAACAACAAGTCGTTCACTGACATTCTGAGCTGAGCGGTTCTTATCGTATTGGCTCTATAAAAAAGTAAATGGCTTGAATTCCTGACTACGCATTCGCATGTTTCACAGCTTCAAATAGGGCAGCGAGGCCATTGAAATTAACTGGTCGTTATGCAGACTCTTTGAAGAGAACATCCTATCTGAGAGTTGGTATCGCAGCTAATCTCGAGTGGAGCCAAATGCTTGAAAACAACGATCGTCCGCGGCGGCAGGCAACGGCGTCTGACAATGAAGGAGGCTACTGAAGTGGACCCCTGCCAGAAGACAATAATAGATTTTGTGTGGTCTTGCACGAATAGGCGGACTGGGCTGCAAAGCTTCTTTTATCCGCCATCCAGCCAAGAACTTCCTAGTCAACTGCCATTTGTTTCAGTCCGGCCAACTCCGAGTGACCGAGAAAAAATATTGAAAATATATTAATCAAGTCCGATTTTAGAGCTTGATTCTTCCATTCCAGCCGTGCGAGTTTTTGATGGGAGGAATCGTTTCTCTCAGAGGATAATGACTACTACAAAATAAATATCTCTTGGATAGCGTGTATAAGCTCCGCTCTGTAGTCAAACGCGCATGCATGTTCCTATCTATTTTGGCATTTCTACAGGATGTCTCATAAGCGGAATATTATGTTTCTTAACTTGTAACTTTACTCGAAGCAAATGTATTTCCAATTGCTCACACGTAGCTTTTATTCGGACATTTGCCTAGTGAAGGGGATGACATTCATTCGATATCCATCTGTGACTGTTACCCCAGTGCTCCTCACGCATTGCATCCTGCGGTGGCCTCTTCCAAATTCTGCAGAAAACAAACTTCAACTCCTCCGTGTGTATGCATTACTCAGCAGCTCAGCAGAAGAGCAATATGAGTGAGGATACGAACCCATTATTCAAGGGTTCTAGCATGGGGACTGAGGATGAAACTGAAAGAAAATGGAATACACTCTGCAAGCAGCACCCAATCCCTATTATTATCCGGGCTGGATCCCAATTACCGGAATCACAGGAGACGAAATTCCACAGTCCTTCCAATATCTGTCGAAATCTGAATTTTCTCTGAGCCGCTTGGAGGACGAATGATGTTCTTTTCTGTAGAACGAAATTTCTGCAATGAGAGGCGAAATTTGTTTGGGACTGGTATCACGCTACTCATTATCACTTTATCATATAACCATCATTATATAACCAGGGACGGTAGCAATCTACCCTTAACTCGAAATCAGAGGTGGTGATTAAGGGCTTTATCATAGAATAAGGATGACGGACAATCGCGAACTAACCCTGCAGTAAATCACGAGCTTCCCTACATTATATGCAAAACTCTGCTGTCACCCGGATTTGAACCCTCGACCACAACGATTGGTAGGCCGCAGCACTACCACTGCACCACCGAGGACTTAACCTACATGTTGAGGGAGACGCACATAAAGCCGAGGGCTGGT